GAAAAAATGAAAATCCGAAACGATCACTTTCCCTTCTTGGCTCCTCCACGTCCCCCTGACCTGGCACGCCCTTGAGGCGTACCAGGCTCAAGGTTTGGGCTCTTACAGTACAGGTTGAGGTAAGGAATTAAAAATGAATTCGACGGAGACAGATCTGCCAACTGAGCAAGACCGTCGTTCAGGTACACTCTGGCAGTGCGGGCCGCAGCCCACCGCCCTTGTACGAGCAACCTATCAAACGAACCGTGCTGGTTGAACCAAAACGTCGCCCCCCCGCGACGTAAGCTGTAGGGTCTGAAATGCAGGTCGTTCAAACGCAGTGCCTCGTTGGCTTTCGTAAACATGGCCCTCCAGGCGTGTGGCTTAGCAGTTAAAAATTTTGACGGACTTGCAGACTGTTTCCATTTCCACAAAGATGGGAGGATTGAGCGGTCATGTAGCGTAACGCTCTCTGCTGCACCCTGACGGGCACCTCCCTTCGTAAGACCAAGGGACAGAACAGCCGGGCCCTTAGGTCCAGGAATGAAAATGTCTTTCGCCCGAAGGCTCAGCAGTTCTCCAGTTCGGAGCAATCCGAAGAAAGCAATCCTCAAGGAAAGGCCGAACTCTGGGCAGCCGTGGAACAGGGACCAACCGCATAAAGCATCAAGAATTTGCACCGTCATTGGAGGTGCCCTGTTGGGGATCTCCACCGTACTCCATGCTTTCAACAGCCTCCAGCTACCCGGGAGTTTCTTTTTGAGTGAAGGGTCGCGGTCTTGCAAGGCGGCCAAAGTGTTGTTAGCCACGGACTTTCCTTCTCCAGTCGCCCAGAGGTGCTCAAGGTAGTCACTGACAAGAGGATCTAAGTGAGCTTGCTGTTTTGGGAGAGTTAACCCCTCCCCTGCCATCCAGTCAAAGAACTTGTTGAGACTTTCGGTGTATCGTTGCCGGGTGCGAGGTTGCACAGTCAAACCCTTGAGGGATCCTAGTTTGTTGCGGACTTTCTTGCGCTCCTGTTGGCTTCTTCCTTCCATTACTTTCGTGGTTTTCTTCCCCATTTCTTTCGGAGTGGGCGGCGCGAAGGCCGATCCGCGGGGTTCTGGTGGGTATCCACATAACCCCAAACACCAACTAAACCACCTGCCAACTGAAGCGCTCCGATCCGACACAAGGTTCGTCTCAATCTCCGGCTTGATGACCTCCCCCGCGACAAGGCATGCAACACCACCAATGAATCAACTAAATGTAGGAAGCGGCATGAGCTGTCTGCCAGCTCCTTCAGCCGCCAGACCAGGGCCGTCTTGACAGCTCTCAACTCAAGGGCATTGATGTGCTCCGCGTCGCCGGTCCACCTCCAACCTGCAACGTCCTTCCATCGCCACAGCTTGCTGGGAATGGATGCTCTCAACCTATGGTAGCGAGCCGGCAAATCGGTCCCAAGCTGTAGCAAAATGTCCTCACCCTTGACGGAGATTTGCCCTAACAGACGCGACACCAAGCCTGTCTGCTCCTCTCCTGCTTTTGTAGTTTGCCTCAACGGTGGCCTCAATAGTAAACTGGACAGCTGTTGCTCTCGCCCTGGCGTCAAGCGCTTCACCAAGCATGCCAAATCCATCATCGGTAGCATACCTAAAGTCCTGAAGAGGCAGAACAAAAGATAAGCGACTACCGGTATGGACCAGCTATTCCCCAGGAGACTAAGGCGACAATCACTATGCTTCATGCTTCCCTCCAGACTCTTCACCATGCACCTTCTAGTATAGTCGAGTGGGAACCCAAGGATGACCTCTCTTTCCTTGATGGATGGCACACGAAGCTGACCTTGGCGATTGACCACGCAGTTCTCTTCGCGGTATTGGTAAGGCGGGAACCTATGTAGGTCTGCACTCCACCTAGCCACAGCGTCTGGCGGGCAAAGGGCCAACCCGGCAGGGCGGCGTCCTGGCACAGCGGAATGTCGAGATGTTGTAAAGGTGGGCAATGAACCTTGGGGCCGCGCCCGACGCCATCCTGGCTCGAGGAAATCTTGTTCATCAACTGTCACGTGCAACTCTATCTTCCCCTGCACTGGGAGAGTACCTTCCCTCCCCTTTACAACCCTAGCGCCTTCTAGCTCTAGGGGCTCCCAACTGCACCAGTACAGTCGTGGTCGTCTGGCCAAACTGACTCCTCCCGCGTCAATGCACCAAGGGACCGTCTCATAAGCTTCTGACATGGTGAGGCAATCGCGGGTGTCCATGGATGCCACATTCTCAATCAGACGGTGGACGGGGCACCACTTGAAATGCCGCTTCAGAAGCGCTTCGACCCTGGGAATATGTTGAAACAAGCATGATCGCACATCTTTCAGAGCCCCCTTTCAGTCGGAGTTTAACCCCGAAACACCTTGACACGGTGGTCCAGCACCTAACAAGATCAGGCCAACGTTGGCAAAACGCAACCTCCAACCAAGCACACACTCGTCCGTCACGTCCGCCACGTCACTCACGCAGACCACGTCCGGGAAGTACGACTCAACGACCCGATTCGCCTCGGGGGAGATCTCAACCGACACGTAACCTCCCACAGGCACCCGCAAAGCGTCCAAGGCCACACGCAGAGCACCGATACCATCAAACAACGACACCACAAGCACCTGGTCCATCTCTTCGGGCTCAACCACATCACCCCGGCATTCTGCCTGACATGCTGCGACTCCGAAAGGGCTAAGCTCCCTAGTGACACAAAGACCCCCGCCCGTGGTGGAGGCGTCACTCGCCGTCACTATCTCCGACGTCGTCAAGCGGAAGTCCATGTAGGCCAGTGGCGTCAGGGTCACGAAGCGAAGCAATTCTAGTGCCTACCGGCAAGGGCTTCTTCACCAACGGCCCCAGGGCCCCTAGCTCAGTTACCTGCCTCCATACAGCATTCAAGCCTGATAACAAGGGTCTCCGGAACATGGCAATGTAGACGAAGCCACCGCCAACCACCTGTAGCTCACGCTGAGATGCCCTGCCTGCGATACAGATCTCAACTGCCAACCTCACATACCTTCCCACCTTCTCCATCTTTGGTGAGGCGCGCCCTAGCTCTCCATCCACCCAAGCTCCTTGCACCTCTGCACGCACCTCCTGGGTAACCGCCTTCTTGGGATGTCGGGGTAGCCCCAGCGTTTGGTAAGTCTCACGCACAGCCAAACTCCACGCCGAGGGCGATCCCTTCAACATCTCTGCTGTCCTCTTGTCAACTTTATGCAACTCGTCATAGTTGTCCAGATAGACTCGAAACTGGTGCGACGCCGTGCTCTGATGTCGATCACGCCGGATCTCTTGCTCCTTTCCGGCCAAGTGCCTTTCTCCACCTAAAGCCTGATGAATCACTCGACGATGGACATGCTGAGCTATCGCCACCGAGTTCACAAAACCCATCGGCAAGACCCGACTTACAAGATGCCATCCACCTCCTGCATATCCTTCTGGGAGGCCCTCGGCAGGGACCTCCCGTCCAAACCCCATAAAACGGTGCCATTGCGGAGGTGTTCGGAAAAGATAGAAAAAAACAACGTATATCTTCAGAAGAGGTCAAAAGCAACTCACCATCCTCCAAGACCGTTCCTGACATCCCTGTCACAGTGGGCAGGGTTGATGTGTCTCCCACCAGGTTACGGCAGAGAGCATTGGTCGGAACCAAATTCATGATCAACCGGCACACCTCAAACTCCTCACCTCTATCGTCGACTGCCTTCTCTCCCTTTTCCACGGCAAAAAGTCCGTTTAGTACAGGTCGACCCCCCCACATGAAACAGGTCCTCACGTCTCATCACCCCACAAACTCCTCTCTCAATCAGGCCGCGGCACACCTCGGCCCAGTGCTCCTGGTTGACCATGATCGAGGGGGTCTTCCCGAGGCTTTGATCCTGGGGCGGAAGCAGGAATTGCTCGAAGTCTGTCACGTACGACCGAGTTCCTCCCTCACAGAAAGCTTCTAGATCCAAAGTTCCTACACCCTCGGGGAATGCGGCAGCCACCATCTTCCATTGAAATGACTTGGCTACTCGGACCTCCCCCCCTGAATAGTCAATGCCCTTGGTTGCAAAGAACTCCTGAAAGGTTATGGGAGGAAGGACAACCTCTGGCCATTCGCTGCACCTGATCACCTCCCTCAAGCGCACCAGGATCTTCTTCTGGATCTTTGAAACCCTCGTACTGGCACCTGTGGTCACCCCATAAAGGCTATTCAACCCTCGAACAAGAGCCTCCAATGCTGAGTCAACGGGTTCAGACCATCCCAAAGTCCCTGGAAGTGGAAGAGGAAAAATTCCCTCCGTGGACTGCCCGCAACGCGTGGTCTTCGACAACACCTCCAAGGATTGAGACAGTGCCGGACTCAGCTCCCTCAAACTGCTTTCTTTTTTGCCACATGCGCTTCGCAGGTTCTTCTGCCATGAGGCTGGGTGAATCTGCTCCGTCAAAGCAACTTCTCCACGGCACGGCGTCAAAGCCAGTCGCGGCGATTGGTTCCATGCAAATTGGGAGGATTTCCAAACCTCCCCTGTACCATCGTAGGGCTGCTCTCCAATCCAGGCTTGGCGCTGTCTGCGGTCCATACCTACAGATTGCTTACTCCTCACCTCAGACTGGGAGGCAGCCTCGGTCTCCCCTCCTTGGCCCGGCGGGCTTGGATGCTCGTTTTTGCCTCCGAACTCACCCCCAAGGTCATAGCTTCTATGCGTCTTTCCACTCTCAAAAGCCTTCTGGTAGCATTCTGTCAGCATCTCTTCGATTGCCCTGTCATCTTCTGTTTCCTTGTGACTCTCTCCATCCACTTGCCTCTGACCTCTCCTTGACTCATCTGCCCTCATTTGCTCTTTTCTCCTCACTTTTCTTTCCGTGCCTGTGCTCTCATCCTCAGATCCACCCTTCAATTCTCCTCTTTTGTTTTCTTTCCCCATTTTCCTTTCTCTTTTCCTCTTCCCTTTTCACCTCCTTTGTGCTTGTATGATGGTTCTGAGGTTGGCACAGGCTTGCCACGTCCTTTGGGCTGATGGTCACCGTCTCCTCGCTGAGCCATGCCATAGGGCCGATTGCCAATGGAGCGGTTGCGAAATTCATCTCTCGCGCTTCTGGCTGCTTCGACCTGTTCAGCTGGTTCTGCAATACGGATCTGCTCTGCATTGACTAGCTCCAGCTGGCGCGAAACTGAAAAATGGCCACCGCGGAGGGTCGCTTCAAGCGACTTCGCACGTTGTACGAGCACGTCCAACGCAGCTGCCACCTTCCTTCGGAGCAGTAGATCCGAGACCTGAGCAACCGTCACCAACTCCTGCCAAAGCACCGGACTTGCAAGGGACTGGAGGTGTTGGTGCGTGTACATCGAGAACAATGGACTGAGTTGATCTCGCGACACGCTGTGCAACTCGCCTCGAGAAGAAAGGAGGTGTTCACGGACATTGTCCAACGCCTGAGCAGTCAGCGCACCTGGGCATTTTTCGCTCAGCCTCCTGATCCTCCTTGTCTCCTCGAAAAGCGGGCCTTCCTCCTCCGACCCTTTTTCAGTCTCGCTTGATGAGCTCGATGAGGACCCAGAACTGCCTGAGTCAGACTTCTTCCGCTTTTTGTCCTTCTTCTTGCTCACACGTCGGGCCTTCTTCATAAGACGTTTGCGCCTGGGTACATTGGGATCCAGGCATGTGTTGGTGAATAGGGCCCGCGCTGTCTTCTGCCCTCGCTCAAGCTCCTCGGTCTCTTCCTTTTTGGCAAGCAACTCATCGTACTCTTTCTCTGCTGTCCTCTCTTTTTTCTTCCTCTTTTTGCTCTTCTTCTCTGCGGCAGCTACAGGCGACTTGCTCCTCTCTTGCTGTCCTTCTTCTTTGGGAGGCTTGACACCTCCCCTCCCCTTGCCTCGGTCCATAGCCATCTCACGAAGTCCGGCCAACTCGTCAACCTCTCCTTCATCAATGGCCTTGGCAGGGACGAGGTTGGTATGCCAGGGCTTTGGTGCCACGGCTGCATCCCAAAAACCTCGGGCATGGAAGAACTTGTCACCTGTCATCAACTGCGGACAACCGGCAGGACACGCATGCACCGTCACTATCCTCGAGTGGCCTCCCCCAAAACGTTCAAGCACGCGGTCTGTCATTGTGCCGGTCAACTCAAATTCCACCTCCTCATCAGAGGGCTTCAAACCCTTGATTCGGCCTGCTATCTTGGCATGCGCCCCGTAGTACGATGTCTCACCAAGCTCAACGATGTCTAGCTCCTTCATTCTGTCTAGCGCCAATGAGGTCAAGGGATGATACTCTTCTGTCACCGGCTTATCAGCTTCTGCCTCTCCAGCCTCCGATGCCCGTGCAGGCCTCCTCAAAGGGCGCACCCGCGCCGGCATAGCTGCTGGTCGTCTCACCTTGGGAGCCATGACTCCCCTCACCACCTTCCACGAGTGTTCCTTCTGTCGAACAGCTCCTGCTTCGCTCTCTTCGTCACACCTTTGTTGGTCCCTTCACTCCACCTGGGATGATCGGAGTAGGGCACCGGGCCTCGCCACCCTCTACCTGGGAGCTGGTCTCGCCCTGCGGCAGGCGGGATCAGAGCGGTCCTAGGCGGCGGATGATCGGGAGTACGAGGTGAACGAGGTTCTCGCTGACTGGGACGAGGACGAAGGTATGGTTCCCTCTGGATGCCACTGCTCGGTCGAACTGCCTCTTGTCCTCCACGACTGTCCCTAGCCCTGGGAGAATGGTCCTCCCTTTTCTTCCTTCTGGTCCGTGAGCCACTCACAGATCTTGACTTGCTGTCCTTCTTTTCCCTGTCCTTTTTATCCTTCTCCCTCTGTCTCTGCGGGGTTCGGCTTCTTGCTTTCCTGTTCTCCTCTTCCTCCTTCTTTCTGGGCAATGCTTTGCTTCCCTCACTCTTCAGCACCTCAGCTGCCTTCTTCTGCACTTCCTTCTCGCTGACCTTTTTGCTACCTGATTCCTCTCCTGGATCCTCGGCCTTCTTTCTCTTCTCCTTTGAGCTCTCCTTGGGAGACGCCTCTCCCTTGGCCGCTTTCTCCTCGACCACCCTCTGGGGAGGCGCCCCTCCCTTCGACACCTCCTCCTCGTCCGACTCAGGGAACAGCCGGGCAATGGAGTAGTAGGCCGAGTCCAGGACCTTAGTGACTTTGGCCTCGGCTTCCAGGGTAGTAGGCAGGCGATCGCTACCTGCCGCCGCACGAAGGCGCTCAATGGACGCGCAAACCGTACACTGGCCCGCTAATAGTCGCCACTTCTTGCAGCGACCACAGGCCAGCATACCCTGTTCTCGAGCCCAAAGCTCCGTGGAAAGTGAAACTGATTCGTGTTTAGTTATGGGGGCATTTAACCATCCCAAGAAATCCAAAAAGGTTCCCAAAATTCCAGGATGCGTGGATCCTGACTCTCATACCAAGGCTCCAGCAGCATCCACTCCTCTTCTCCCTGGCACACGCGCTCCCACGCCTTGCCGATCTCGGGGTCACTCACATCCAACCCCGAGCTGCCACGTGCACCCCCATCCGTGCGGAAAAGACCGCCGCTCATGAGGCCGTTTTCAGAGGTTTTTCTGCAGCGCGGCCCCTATGGCCCCTCTACCACGGCCTCTGGAGTCATTGCGACGCTGGTCACAGCGTATGCACTGGATGTTGGACAACTGACTCCTTCAGTTCTCTTGGGGTAAATAAGGATTAATTACCCCTTATCTACCTCTTCTTGTTTGGTACGGAAACCACTCTCAAGAAAGTTAAAGGTGATCCCCTTGTCCTGGGTATGACCATCACCAGATTGGATCCATCGGGCCTTGCTTCGGACTGGTCTTCCCAAAGGGCTGGGGCCAACACGGCGACACCCTGGTGATTCTGCGCACGAAATCGCTGTCCCGACTCTGTGAAAAGCTTTCATCGTCACTATAGTCACTGCATGCAGCCCCCGCATGCAGCCCAAAAGGTCGTTTGAGTAAGTCAAAGGGCGCGATGACTGTGTTTTATCATGGCCAACCCCCTCCTACGTGTGCAGTCTGATGCAGCCTTTCATGCACGTGACGCGTGAAGAATGACGCAAAACAGTCTGCCGCATGCCTTTTGTGGTCCTCCAATACATGGGCACCCGCTCAATCGGAAAACCCCGGACTTCCCGCTGGGCGAACTACGTCATTGAACGCCTATTCATTCAACTGGCCTGCTGCCTGCTGGCCCTACCGGGCTTGCAACTGACCCATTCAAAGGAGCATACTAAGGGGAGACCTTGTGTGTTTTAAAGAAAACTGCTGAGTGTCCTCGCTGGACACCGTCTCGAGGTGCAGATCCATGCCAGCACACTCCTTTCAGTTCACCCAGCAGGTGATTGGGGATGGGGATGGCGGTTCCCACCGTCCCCACCTTTCTTCAGACTCCTCGCGCGGTCCATTCTCTTCGACTGGTCAGCCGGTGCCAGAGCCCAGGTCAGCAACGGCCCGCCGGGGGGAACGAACGTGGACGCTTCGGAGTCCGGACCGTTCGCATAGACAGACATCCGGGTCACCTCAGTTGAGTCCCCGCGGTCCCTGTGGCCGTTGTCTGCCATGATCCGCCACGGCCGTAGGGCCGTAGTGGAAAAACCACTGGGTGGCTCGGGGAGGGAGGCTCTTTAACCTTGGGAGGCGCTCGAAATCATCCCATTCAAAAGCTACCCTTCCCGCGTTCACAGCAGTCCCATGGCACATCATGCACGGTCTATGATGATTATGATGCACACATTGTCTTGTTGATGGTTTCTGTGGGTATGGAGACATCGGCTTTTCTTCGCCCTGAAGGCAGGAAAGGGAGGATTCAATCACCCAAACAGGGCGAAGGTTAAAAATCCGGCAGGATCTAGCTGCTGCCGCACGGTGAGACGGATTTGGTCGGTCTGGACACCAAACTCGTGGGCCAATGGTCCTTCGAGTGCGCAGCGGCCACAAAACCTTTGGCAGCTATGTTCAGGGCTGCATAGTTCATTCAAAAACTTCCATCTACTAGTCAGGTAGTCATGGAAAGTGTCAGTTGATATAGGACCTGCCAGTTCCCAAACAAAACTGCCCTCTTGAACTGCCAAAGGTCTTGATGGTGGCGCAGGTGCTTTCTTCGAACAGGGCAGCTGGGGGACGAAACCATGCTGTCCGGAGCCGCTGGGAAAACGCAGCAGCAGAGAAGGCCTGAGCCCACTCGTGCCGACGTCACAACTGGATCTTCGAGGAACGAAAGAAGCGCCGCATGCTGTCATAGTTCCGATGGCCTGACCACGACGCTGGGCCGAGTCCAGCGGCGGTTTGGGGCGGACGGGACACCTGGGGACGTGGGACGTGGGGTCCCTGCCGAGGGTGACCTGTTTTTCTGTTCGGTGGTGATGTCCAGTTCAGTCCCTAACACCCCAATGGGACTTGACAATCCGACACGACACATGAAACACCCCGCCGTGGATCCAGGGAAACTCTGGTGGGGTGGTGTCCTTTGCGGGGGAGGGAGGGAGGGAGGGAGGCGTCAAATGGTGGACCATTTCCGCCAGCCGATCCCAAGAACGCCAGAAGTGCTGCACTATACAGACAATGCCACCCCCTGCCCCAAGAACTGGAAAAACACCCGAGGAACATGTAGGTACAGTAGCCAATGGTGCCACATTGACCTATATGCTTCCAAGACTGGAACCGTAGACTTCGAACGAAACCCGCTGTTTCCTCAAGTATACTGCTTTTCAGGAGCGCTTGGGGGGGAGAGGTGCCGGTCACGAACACGCCCTCCGGCCGTGAATCGAGGCGAAGCCACCACCACGGTGGTCATCGTCCCACGTGCATGCGCATGCGTATTCAAATCGGTATACCAGCTGCTTCCAGTCCGGGTCACCTGGCTGGACAACCCTACTAGCCTAGGTCTCCAGACAGGGCACCCAGACAGGAAGTGCTAGGTATGTTAATAGTTTAATAGTGTTTGTTTCAGTGTGTTTCAGTTGCCCGTTCTTGGGGCGTTCTCACCACCTCTCATGCCAATCTCCACCTCTCCCAGCTCCTTCGGCTTAGCTCGTTCGCTTAGCAAGGCGCTTTCGTCGTGGCAGCAGCCGCACTTCTCGCCGAAGAGGCATTCAGATTGGAAGTGGAAGTAGCAGGGAACACCTCAGCTGAAGTCGCATGTACAGAACTTCTGTCATCCACCCGAAGTGACTTGGTCATCCGATGGTGTTGCGACCGATGCACACCCCCCACGCGTGGCGCTGGAAAAGCGCACTCATGGCTGCCACCCACCCGCCAGGAGTCCGGCATTTGGAGTCGTGGTCTCTACCAGGACCCTCCTGTCGGGGTGCCCAATGGAAGCCTATATAGATAGTGTGGGGTAGTTCATTGGACACCCCGACAGGAGGGTCCTGGTAGGTTCCTGGTTGGGATGGATGGACTTTGCGAAGTGAGGCTCACTCTTAGATACTCTTAGCACCTCTCCGCTGGCTTTCCCTTTCAGATGGACTCTCCGAGAGGGCGTTGCTCCTTTGACAGGCTCCCTGGACAGGCTCCGCGGGTCCTCTAGCTCGTCCGCCGACCGCTATTCACCGAACCATCTCCTCTCGACCGGGAACAGCCAATTCGACCTGGGCTAGAAATCAGCCAACACAGCAGTTCCATGTCGGAATGGAGTGGATGGGATATGATGGGATACGTTCGGCGCCCTGATCCTCCCAGTTCAGCAACCCCGACAGACATGGGACTGCTGGTCAATGGGGGATGGATCCAAAACCTGGTGTCCTTGCCCACGCGAACGACCAACTCAAGTCTCCTGGATTGAACCCACAGCCAAACTGAATTCGAAGTATCCTGGGGGCTCCAACCACCTCCTCTTCGTGCTTGGGGTAGGTTTTGGAGGTCTATATAACTATCGAACTACCTTCTGACAATCTGCTTCGAGCCCAAACATGCGCCCTGACCTCTCGCCTGCACCTGCTTTCCCGTTTCCTTCACCGCACCGTCGTCCCAGCCGCAGCTTCCAGCCGCATGGCTTCGAGCTTGGCTCGTCGGCTGTTCCCTGCGCGGCTCGACGCTGCCCGAGGCTCCACACGGCCCGACGGACCGATCCAAAACCCAAGGTAGGACGCTTCCATCAGCAGGAGCCCGGGGTTCTATATGATTCAACCGGTCAAAAGCCAATCATTGCAGTTGTAATCTATGTTCTGTGTCATGTTGAGTTGTCCTAGGATCATCTAGGATCATCTAGGATCTAGAGGATGCAAATGGACTCATGGACACGCTCTAGAAGACGATCTTTCAAACCCTTCTCTGGAAGATGTATCTTTGGCCTGGGTCCCTCACGCCGAATCTTGGAATACGATGGTTGGTGCTAATTGTTTCTTAAACTGCCGAATTCTCGTGCTCCACCTACCACACACCCCGGTAATTGAGCCAAAGATGTAGAACAACTGGACTCTTGCTTCATCATCCCTCCATTTGGACCCCCTGTCTGGCCCTTGGTCTTGCTCCGTCACCGCCTCAAAGACCAATGGTCAGGCCTGGAGCCACGCGCTTTCCGCCCGCCCCCCCCGCCGGAGCACCGAAGATCCGATCGACCCATGGCAGGGGCCGCGAAAACAGAAGCGACTGCAGCACCCCTAGAAGTCCAATGTTGCCCCACTGAAGTAAAGCATATTCCTTGACTCGGGTCACCTACTGACCATTCTTTTGATAGTCTTTGACTCCCAGGGGAGTATCGATCGGTTGAAGCATGCCGCTAAGCTTGAACTTCTTGAAGCATATACCAGCTGCTTCCAGTCCGGGTCACCCGGCTGGACAACCCTACCCTACTAGCCTAGGTCTCCAGACAGGGCACCCATTGGAAGTGGTAGGTGCGCAAGTTTACAGTACAAATACGTTCACAACTGGGTACTGTAACTTGTGCAAACGGAAGCCATCAAATGATCCCGGGCTTTCTGTCTTTTCGGCGGTCAGCCCACCAACCACTGATCCTCTTCACAACTTGTCGTTGAAAGTCTGGATTCTCGACCGCAGATGGAATGCCAGCCTAGAGCCTCAAGGGAGATCAAAGGGGGGCACCGGTTTCTTGGAATCCCTTCAGGGCAGCATCGGCGACCTACCTTGCCAGACATGCCGCGCCACATGGTCAGTCCCTCCAAATCCGACACGCCCGCCCCACGCGACGCCCGGCCGTTGGAGCGCGTCGGCGAGCATTTGCTCCCCGGAGAGCCCCACACGTTCCTCGGTGGGAAGAGGCTTCGAACTCAGCGCGGCCGAGGTCTTCAGACCTCCCCCGCCCCATGCACATCTCACCTGCTGGTGTTTTGGTTTACCTCGCCTGAACCGAACGCCTTTGTATTCCAAGCACTATATAGTGGGGACCATGTCATGGTTCTTTTTTCTGGGGTGTGTGGGAAAAGTGATCCACATCAAACCATCATCTCTTCGCTGCATGTCCCTCTACAACGTCTCGTGTCCAACTCACCCAGATGTCCGCCCCTTCCACCTCTGGCCGTTGGGATGACCACCAAGGGGCCATAAACTGCTCCTCCGTTTCTTCGTCGCACGCCGCGTTGGCCGCATCCGACTGGGCGGGGAGCGTGTGGGAGGAGCGTGGGAGACGTGCGGAGCGTGTGGGAGGAGCTCCAGGCCGACCTAAGTGGAAGATAATGAGTGGACTCCCAGG